CCCTTGATATGGGCTAAATAGGAGAGACTTCCCGTCACCAGCGCCCTGGGTAGCATGGGGCACTATCCTTGTCGCTGGAAATATTGAGGTTTTGGAAACTGGGCCATAAGTAGCGCCCCACGCTATCTGTGGCGCTACAAATGGCTATTTTCCTGTTTCGCTCCTTTTTGGCGCAAATCTTGCACCTTTTGGCCCATTTTGCTTCCGGATAATTCCTACATATAAAAACACCACGAATTAGCATATATCATTACATTTCACTTCTGAAATCCACGAATCACGAGTAAAATTCAAGGGAATATACATATAAATATATACACTTTAAGCTAAATATCACCAATACAGGTATTCTGATTGTGTTGTTGAGAGTTGCGTCTGCGCGGTGGGAGACTTCAAGGTATACCTACTTGACATTTGCAGGTCTCGGAGTCATCATATTACTTTATTATGCTACTGTTAAATTGTAATTCTTAACAACATTGTATTTAGAAATTCTAGTGTGTTTCAGTAGTGCTTATGACTTCGTACTACCGATTTTGAGAAATGTATAACTGTTCGCCGCTTGCGGCTATGTATGTCATTTAATGATTTATGATAAATCATTAAATAGTTCAATTATGTTATTAAATCAGCATGTGTTAGGTTACCTAGTCTTAGAGACCAGGTGCCATCACAACATCCTAAGGTGGGAAATTAGGGTCGTGACAAGGGCTCTCATTTGGGGCGAGCTGATATATTCAAATGGCACCCATCCTCGGCAAGGGCATCACGGTGACCCCAATTGGCCATGATTGGCCAATGATTTGAAATTGAAAACTTTGGAAGAAGGAAATCAAATTGAAGGGCCTGCAAAGGTGAAATAAAGTTGAAAAGGTTAAGTCTCATGTGACTAATAGTCATGGCAAAGTTTGAAAAGCCAAGGGCTCTCTAATGCTCTCAGATTGAAAACTTTGCAAGAAAGAAGTCAAAAGTGAAATTTCCACAAAGGCAAAATAAAGTTAAAAAGGTTAAGTCCCACATGACCAACTGTCATAGCAAAGTTTGAAAAGTCAATGGTTCTCCAGCAATAGAAATGCAATTGGTATTCAGGAAATAACCAGTTGGTGTTAAAATCATCATCAATAGAATATGGGCCGAGATCAAGAGACTGAACCACTCAAGGCCACAAAACCAATCACTATTTTGAACTAACAATTGTTCTTTGTTGAAAAATAGGAAACAGGTGCAAGTAAAAAGAGAAATCATCTAGAGATTAAAAATAGCTCCGTAACACAAAAACTCTCAAAAAGGAAGTTTTCTAAAATTTATTTCCCGCATTTTTCTAAATCTTTAAATACATTCAAAATAACGCTATGGTATGGCACACTAATCCCTAGCTGCATTTTCCAATATAGGGTACACAACTCCCTAGTTGATAATTAATTTTTAGGACGTAAGGTACATCACTCCATAGTCTTCTTACTAGTATAGGGTACATCAATCCCTAGTTGTGTTTTCCAATGTAGGTTACACCAATCACTAGTTGATGATCTTAAATGCTGGGTACACTACTCCCTGATCTCATTGCTAAAATAGGGTACACCACTCCCTAGTCTCCTTACCAGTATAGGTTACATCAATCCCTAACTGTGTTTTTAAATGTAGGGTACACTACTCCCTAGTTGATGATCTTAAATCCAGGGTACACCATTCCCTGATCTCATTGCTAAAATTGGGTACACCACTTCCTATTCTCCTTACCAGTATAGGATACACCAATCCATAGTTGTGTCTTCCAACATAGGGTACACCAATCCCTAGTTGATGATCTTAAATC